CTTTCCCTGAAAATAATGATCGACAATCTTTTCTCTTTGTAAAAATGCCTATAGCAAGATAAACCTCCCAAACTTTTACATTAAACAAGAGGTTTGAAGGAATTTTCAGTCAGCTGTATTTGACCACTTCTTTCAGGGCCATAATCTGCTCAGTGGGTCTGGCAGCAAGCTCCACACTCACTGAGCTCTGCACCTACTTGGATTTCGAACTGGCTCATCCCTCCCAGTCAGATGGGGGCCTTTGCTGTTAAAGGGGCAGGGCCAGTGGCAATGTGTGCACTCCCTGACTGGCCACACTCACCACTTAGGTGATGGGCGGGGTGCGGCAGGTGGGAGTGCTGGTGCCCCCCGTGTAGGTGCTGGCCAATAGCTGCAGCCACTCCCAGAACCGGCCGCAGCCACTCCCAGAAGCAACTGCAGCAATCTCCCCGCTCCGCTCCAGGCAGTGAGATTGGCCGCAGGGGGACCCCCCACTTAGGTCGGCAGGATCAGATGCGGAGGACCTCCCCCAGTCAGCGGGACTGGTCGCAGGCGGCGCACATGCTCCCCCCCTAAGGAGGCACCAGTCACCCAGGGGCAGGGCACTGGGATTCAGACACTGGTACAAGGCATGGGTATGGAGGACAACATCCTGGAGTATTTTCCCCTGCTTCAGCTGAGGCTGATTCCCATCCTTGTCCTCCGCCAGCCTGTTCTCAGGCCCCCAAACCTGCCTGCAGCATCTTGGGCCCTTCCGTGACACTCACAAAGCTAAGGCCAGACTCTGGACGTGAGGACAGGAGTCCAAGCTGCACTGGTTCCCATTTGGGACTGGCTGTAAGCGGGACTGTCATTTCCATGATTTTAGGAGGGAGACTGGATGGCGCTGTCACAGGCTGCTGTCTGCCTGGCTTCAGGCTGTTATGGAGGTGTAGTTAGTTGTGTCAGCCTGAAATCAGGGTAGATGTCTATAAGGTACAAATCTACCCTGCCTTCTACTTGATTTAAGACTGATGGGGTTTCCCCCACTCTGGTGGTAGCTGGGATGCAGACAGGGGGAGACCGGGGAGGGGGAGGGAGGGTGCACTGATGCCCTTGCACCCCTCCCCGCCTGCCCCTCATCGATTCATACTCTGCCCAAATTTTAAAACCGACTGCCTGACCCTGGCAGCAGCACTTCTAGGCAGGCAATGCTGAGGGAGCGCATTGACTTCATGGCTCATTATAATCTCCTGTATCCCTTCTAAACTCTTCACTCCAGAGGTGTTAAGGACTCTCTCTTCTTTTTAATGGTCTTGCTGTTCCACCCATCAAGCTGGCCTGTGTTGTGCCCTGCTGCTCTCTGCTCACCACTGCTGGTGGGGAAGCTCCTATTCCACGGCCTTGCAGACTGTGTTTAACTCGCTCCCGTGACGTTATATTCGTTTCTTTCTTCAGTCTCAAACTGAACAACACAGCCCTAGGCCTGTTAGTGAAGCTTCCAGTTTATTTTTCACTGGAGAAAAACATGTTGTTATAAAGACTCCTGGAGAAGTCGGGCTGGAAGGGACCTCCAGAGGTCATCTAGAAAGCAACCCCCTGCCTGAGGCAGGATCCACCCTATCCAAACCATCCTACGCAAGCCACCACCTGTGACCCTCAACCCTGACACAACACAGGCCGAACACCCCACTCTGCCGCAGGTAAAGCAGGAGGACCGCGACGGCCAACATCCTGCATCTACGAAAGGCTTCCAAGATGCGCTCAAGAGATCCGGGTTAGAGGGTCATGCCCCTGGCTACGCAGGAAAGCAACCCTCCCCCGCCCCTACCAAGCCTACACCCGGTGACCTTGGGCAGAGGGGCAAGGCCCTGTGGCCAGGAACATGGGCTCAGCCCACCCCCTGCTTCTGCACCCCTTTGCCAGATCCGGCCCTGGGAGGAGGGGGGTGTGTGTGTGTGTGGGGGGAAAGGGGTGCTGCCTTTCCTCCTCCTCCTCCTCCACGCGGCCCGAGGCGCTGAGGGGCCACCTGCGCCTTCACCCCCTTGGCGGGCGCGGGGACACCCTCCGCCCCGCAGACGAGGGGATCTGTGCTTGGC